CAACTCTCCAAACCGAATCGAAATCAATTTTGGATTCGTACAACTATAGTTGAAGTAGTATAATCAGAGATCGTGGATCAGTAACTCGCACCGAAATTACAGCCAATGACATCGCCAGCAATTGGAGGCAAAAAGAGGAGATAGCCGGTATAGGAAGACCAAAACTATATAGCCCAGCTGTATCCGTACAATCAGGTGATTTACTAATTGCAAACTATGTATTTATTAGCAATTATGTGTTATGCTGTATCTGTATCTGTTGTATCTGTATCTGTGAGATAATCGCCAGTGACAGCCACTTCTTTCACTTTGATTGACACGCTTTTTGAGTTATGGGTTATGGCAAAAATTGATTTCTGGGCCCGCGCGCGATTTGTTGGGTTATAAAATCGGCAATTATATCAGCCAGCCAACGGTTAACTCGCTGCGATCGATCACGATCAATTAAGGAACGCGGCGGCCGCAACTGCATCGGATGGTGGTGGATATGTGTGGGGTATACGGGGCACTGGGTTTTTCTACGCTGATCGGTTTGGCTTAGTTCGGTTTCATTTCGTCTCGAATTGCCGCATAAAATGTAGTTCAAATAACTTTCGAAAATGAATAAGAGGCAGCGACGAATAAAGAAAAACATTGCATTGTTGCGGGGCAGTTAAACGCTCAAGTTAAAGTTGCCTCAGTCTAACGGTCGTCACATTCACTTTTCATAAGAAACAAAACCAAAGCTCATTTGAATTTCTAATCGACAGAAATGTTTTATGTGCCCCTTATTACTATTATTATTCAGAGCGCGATATATAGTATGTGGGGCTGGGTCTTAAGCTCATTCGATTTCGTAATCTCTTAACATTTCGCTTTTACACCTCGCCATCGGGAGTATGGGAGTCTGTGGGTCTGGGTCTGGGTCTTTGCCTTTTGGGTTCATTGTCAGAACTGAGTGGAGTAGTGATCGGGAGGAGGGACTCGACGAGCCGACCGGTTTCTGTTTCGTTTTCGGTGAAATTTATGATGCATAATATTTGTTTTATTTGCTTTATTTGCCATTGTTTTTTTGGTTTCTTTGTGGTCGTCATAGGCAAACACAGCACCGTTGCACTCGAGAAGATGTCGAAATGCTTGCCGAGATCTGGCCGAGATGCAATTGAAAATTCCCAGAAAATATTTAAGGGGTTCCGAGAAGTTTCAACTGAAAGTTGTAGGCCTTATGAACTCCCCTTCTTTGGTTTAAGCCAAATTCATCCAAAGTATTTTCAGTATTTAATTAAAAAATTTACAAATAGAAAGGGGTTGGAAAAATTTTCAAAAAATTTTTTAATCGTCTAGATGGACTCGGTTTTTGATGCTGATCAAGAATATATATGATTTACAGGGCCGGATATCACTCCTTGACTGACTAAACGATTCTGACTAAAATTATAATAATAAAACATAACATGATTGATATACTCTGAGTATATTGATGCCTATTAATTAATCACCCTTTTGGGAGACAACTATGATGGATCTAATGTGATTAAAACCAATTCATTTGTATAGCCAAAAGTTGACATATTTGATTTGCATTATGCCTACCTACAGGTTCTTCCTTACTTTGTTTCCCTATGTATGAATTATAATATATAGTTTTGTTTGTAGGTTATTCCGGGAGATTCTTCAGTTTACCCAAAGAATCCATTAATTCATTTTCACTGCGCTTGTTTCCTCATATTTTCCTTCTTTGGCTACCTTCAGCTGATCCAGTTTCGGAGATAAGATCTCATCTTCTCGGTTTTAAGTGCTTTGGTCGCTAATAACTCTGGCTTTTTGGGGCTTTTCTCTGTTGGTTTTCCAGACGGCCTGAGGGGTCAGGGGTCGCTGACCCCCTCCCAGACATTGACCTCCACCTTCTCCCCCGCCCCCTTTGGCAATGCGATGCGATGCGAAGCTCTGCTGCGATCGACGCACGACAAGTTTCGAGTTTTGTTTTTGTTTTGTTTTTTATTTTATTTTCTCAAATTATTTTTCAGCGTACTTTGCGTTTTTCATTCGAGTTTCTGCTTTTTTCTTTAATTTTTTTAGCTCTGGGCCCTCATCATCTCCCACCTGAGTAACTTTCGGCCATTCCCGCCGGAATCCCACCTGTAAACCTCACCATTTATGTGTAATTACACCTGGGTTCCTCGGCCTTTCGGGTGTTCTTTTGGATCTATATTCCGATATGCCTTTTGGCTACGAGTTCCCTCTTTTGATTTTGTTTTCGATTTGTCAGGAGGATGAGCAGGTAGCCCATATTTCCCGTAATAACTATGTTTATCTTTTCTCGGTTTGGTAATTTCCCCAATTTACCGGATTCCTATTGGCTGCGAAGCTGCATAAAGACATTCATTACGGATGGGCGATGGTGTCAGGATCCCGCCGGTTTTTTGTCATATCTTTTTTTTTGCCGTTTTTGCTGACCGGTTTCGGGCATTTTTACTTTCGATCGACGGGAAAATTTTACTAACTCTGTCTGCGTCCGCAATGCGCAAAAAAAGCGAAACTTTAATAGACCAACCACAAGTTCTAACCGGTTTTTGGGGATTTTCTTCTCCTTTTTTTATTTGGCTGCCCATTTTCCGCAGCAATAGTGGAAAATAGGAAAATATAAATGTAAAGTCGAAAAAAATAAATTAGTCTAAAATATGATTCATGATGAAATTTGAAAAAGGAAATTGAAAGATAATTTAAAAAAAAGTAATTCCCTTATTTACGTTTAAGAAAAAAAAAAACCTTTTTTAATTTTCGTAGTTACTTTTATTTAATTATTAAGCAAGCTCAACTTTTAATATATAATATAATCTGATGATTAAAAGAACCTGCTTGGAGTGCATCTATGTTAAGCAGGAATTGAGGCTTCAATTCTTTGATTTTAAGACATTCCTGTTCCACTCCACCTTCCTCTTAGCTCTCATCTTCCATCAGTCCAGCGATCGAGTGAAGATCTACAGCTTGGCCTGAATCGCAAAGATCCGATTCGATCCGATCCTCAAGCTCAAGCTCCGCTGGCTGGCAGTTGGCCAGCTTCAATCTCAATCTCAATCACTTGACCATGACTGGTGGTGGGCAAGGGGGATGGGTGCTCTTGGCCACTCTATTACTCTCCTCCGCTCCTCGATCATTTGTCCAAGTGTCCAGCGAGCAATGCAATTCTCGAGGCATTTTTCGTTCGCTTCCACTTATTTGGGTCACGGACAGTCATCATCTCGTTCGCCGGCCAGGCCAGGCGAGGCTATCCTTGTATTTACAGGTTTTTCGACTTTTACTTGCATCTGGCATTGGCCAGGCCAAATTCGAACTTTTTTTTTATATTATTTTTTGCTCTTGGCTCTTTGGTTCCGTGTTTCATCTTCTCAGACAAAACATAGGCTTCCTTTTATTATTATTATTATTTTTTCGGTAAGCCATAACAGCTGTTTGCACAGGCTTGGGAGCTTTATTTTTTGTTGTAAACACTTGTAATTAGTATTTAAAATAAGCTTTATAGGTTTCATTTTTTATTTTCTGCTCTAGTTAATTTCTAGGATTTCCTTACAGAGTCCCATAATTAAATTTTTCAAAAGGAGCAATAATTTACAAGTTGTTTAGCTTGGATACTGTGAAGCTTCTAAGTAGGGTCCCCAAAAGCAGCTGTTAGTTGTTCTCCCTTTATTATTTTAGCTTTACTTCATTCTCGCTATATTCTCTGCACACAGACGAAAAGTTTACCTATCAGATCTATGGGATTTGGCTTTTCTTGGCACTTCTAAGTGTTTTTACATATGTTCGTCTCTCCCTTTCTGCGTTAGTATTAATCTATAAAAAATTCTACAAATCTAAAATATGTCTACTCATTTATGGTACTTTAATATGTTTTTTATTGTGTTTAGCAAAGCTTCTAAAGTCTGCGGAAACTGATTGTGTTTATCGAAGTTGACAATTGGGACACTTTTCGATTTCATGTTCGGTTCTGCATGATCTTGTTTTGTTTATCCTCTCTCCCTCTCTCTCTCTTTCTCTCTCTCTCTCTCTGTCTCTCAACGAAGAAAATAAGGAACCAAAGAAGAAGAAGGAGGAGGGAGCATACGAGAATGGAGTGCAAACAATGGCGATGAAAATTTCACAGCTCTTACCATGACTTTGGTTTTGGCCCCCCAAAAAGAAAGATCAAGAGACGACAGCAGCCCCAAAAAACGATATATTATAAGAAAAAAACAAAACGAAACACAAGACGTTGGCAACTGTGCAAATAAAGCAGCAACAAACAATAACAACACACACACACACCCGCACACCTGTGGGTGAAAGAAGAAGCGGAGCGGACACCGAAAAAAAAGAAGAATAAAACAACAACAACGTGTAAATGAAAAGCCAAACAAAACCATTTTACAATTGTGGCCACGCTGAGTGTTATATGCTGGTGTTGCTTTTGTTGCCTTTGTTATTTCTGCGGAAAGTCGGGAAAATCAGTCAATGGAACGTCACGGCAGAACAGCGACGCCAACGCCGGCAGCGCAGCATCGGGGGCGTGCTGTGTAAGTTCAATGAAATGCAGGCAAAAGGCAAAAAAGCAGAAGAAGCCGGAGGAGGAGAAGGAGAAGAAAGAGAGGCAAACAACAACACAGACAACAAGAACAGCGCCAATTGATCCTCAATTTTTGCTTTCCCATTTCCAAGCACTCGCAAAAATTATAGCCGCCTTCTTATTGGAGTCAATAACAAAACAATAAACAATTCCGTGTTTTGTTATCAAAATAAAATATGTCTGGAAAACAGGCGAATTGGAAATGGGCAAACTGTACGGTGCTTATCCCCCTCCTTCTTTTTACAGTTATTCTTAAAGAACAGCAATCGTAAGCCCTCTCGGAAATCAAAGTTAATGACCAAAATAAACCCATGCAAATGAACATTAATTAGTTTTTGGGGCCTGCGTTTCAAAATAACAATATCCTGCCCAATAATTCTTTGCTAAAATTCTTGTACATCAACAATTTACAGTTACTTACCTCTTCTACTTTCTGCTGCATTTTCCGTGAATCCTTTTTATCTGTGGCGACTGCAAAATGCTAAATCCTTTCAACACAAAACAACAATTTTTGCGGAACAGAAAAAAAAGACACATTCACGTCCGTTGCAGTTATAATGTTCGTTTTTTCTGCTGTTTATAGGCGGTTGCGCGCGCGCAAATAATAACAACAATCGGGAAAACGAATCAACTTGATTTTTCCGCGTTACCGTAAAGTTGCTTCGTTGAGTTTGGAATTTTTTTTCGAATTGCGCTTTGCACTCGTATTTATAAACGTCCACACGAAAATTTGGCCCTAAAAAATCCGAAAAAACGAAAATCCCTAAAAAATCCACATTTGTCACTTGAACCACACCCGATACCACAACCCAGATGAGAGTAACAGAGTTTAACAGAATTTTCTGTTAAATTAAGAGCCTAACAGAATTTTGCTTATGGAATTTCCAAATTGAGAGGGCTTTCAACAGAGTTTTCTGTTAAAATGAGAGCGTAACAGAATTTTTAACAGCTATAAAGCTAGATTTTCAGCTACAAAATTTGGCCCTTAAAAATCTTAAAAAGCTTAAATGTACCCCTAAAAAATCCACACCAGATATTCTTGGCACCAGTACACTTATCGATACCTTAAGATATTTTTTGTCGCCTATCGGTTGCCTTGACAACGGACTTTCAAAAATAAAATCGAAAACAAAAGCGAAACGCCAGAAAAACAAAAATAGGAACCATGCAGAAGGTGAGGGACATGAAGCGAACCGGCGTCTATCGTGTGAGCGGCAACATCGGGGACTTCCAGCTGGAGCTGAAGCTGCGCCACATCAGCGAGTGGCTGCCGGTGCCCAGGTTCGAGTATGCCGGCGCCCAGGCCAACGCCACCAGCGGCAGCGAACCCTACACGGAGGAGTCGGAGCCCTGGTCGGACTGCCGCATCTATCTGCCGCAGGGGGAGGACTCCTACGGCGTCGAGAACCGACTGGGCTACTACACCGGTTACTGCAACGTAGAGACGGGCGGCAGCCAGGTTGCTCGCTGGCGACGCAGAAGCCCCGCAAAGCAGAAGGCCCTAGAGGGGGAACCGGAGAAGGCGGGGGGCGTGGAAGAGAACCGACGGCGCAGGAGCTCCGCCTCCCAGAAGGTCCTAGAGGATGAACCAGAGAAGGCACTGGGCGTGGAGGAGCAGGAGCAGCTTGGCAATTGGAGCATCCTCAGTGAGAGAAACAGTGGCAATCCGGCCGGGGATTTGTTTTACGAGCGGAACCGGGAGCTGTGCAACGGCCGCATCGCCAGCATACGGATCGCCTGGCAGCAAAAGTACCTAAGCCACGCGGAGCTGGAACGCCACCTGCCGGATCCCGGTGGCTGCGCCACCAAATTGCAGCGACGTTACCACACCTGGGCACTGGAGACGTGGGAAGTGCAGCAGCGCCACCTCCAGAAGCTGGCACGGGCCAGGCAGGAACAGGAGCAGGATGAGGACCAGGATCAGGCCAGAGTGCGCCGCCGAATGCGAAAATCGCGACGCAGACAGTCCCATCGTCCCAGCACCGCTGTGACTTTAGCTGATGGTGGACCTCCATCCACAGTCACGGCCCAGGGCCTGTCCTCGGCCAGCATTTCGGAGGTCTCGTTCGACGATCCGCACTTCGCGGCCAGGACCTGCCTCATCCACACTCTGGTCGATGGCGATGCGGAGGATCTGCTGCCGCCGGAAGCCCGGCAGCTGCATCTCGAGGGTCAGCAGCTGATGTACGTGTACGCGGATCTCCCCAAGGACACTCTCCTAGTGAGCATTCGCTACGATCCCGGCCAGGGGCTGCTCTACGTGTACCCGGACTTCAGCAGCAGTGCCCGCGACCTGGACTACATGGTGCAGATCGAGCGGGACAATGACTGTCGGCAGCTGTATGCCTTTGGCTTCGAGAATGCCACCCCGCTGGAGGGGCTGCTCGAGGAACAGCCGCAGCCAGAAGACGAGGAGCAGCAGGCTGACGATGAGGCGGAATATGAGGACTCGAGGCAGGAGCTCCCGGAAGATGCCACTGGGCTGGAGCTCGTTGAATATCACCACATGCTGCGCCTGGTCGCCAGTGAGCTGCGTAACCCGGTGCAGTTCGAGGTGCCGCCAAAGCGTATGAGGCGGGTGTGCCTGCTCCTGGAGCTGCAGACGGCCCAGCACTTCGAGAACGCCAACGTCCACGTGCGGTACTACATCCAACCGCCGCCCAACACACTGATGGAGGCCCCGGCCGGCGAGGATGCGCTGTGCGGAGCCACGGCAACCTGCCGGAATGCCGGCGACTGGCGACTGGCCAACCTGGGCCACTGCTGGCAACTGACGCTGCTCTGCGAGGAGCAACACCAGCCCGAGCAGCAGCTTCTGCACCTCTACTTTGAGGTGGTCAGCATAGACAGCTGGCAGCGGGAGCGCAGCGAGGGCTATGCCCACTACTCCCTGCCGCTGATCTCGCCCCTGCCCACGGAGTCCATTCGGCTGCAGTGCATCCGGCCGCTGGGCAGCTGGCTGGACGCCCTCAATCGTTACTTTATTGGTGGTCGTCAACTTTTTGACTTTGTGTCCTACTTTGATGTGCAGCAACGACCGGCGGAGATCCATTCCCGGTTGGAGTCGAATGTCAGGATGGCCATGCGGAGCACGGGATCGCTTTTGCTTCGGATGCAGAAGCTTCAGCAGCGACAGATCGACGGTGCCGGCCATCTGTTCCAGCTGGGCGACAGCGATGATGCTGGCGGCAGCGGCAGCAGCAGCGACGATGCGGAGGTCACGTCTCCTGAGGATGCGACCAAAGCCACCACCTTGGAGGAGGTAATGGCCGCCTACGTGGAGGCTCGCCAGCGGATCGAGTCGCTGCTGCGCAGCATTGCGGATACATGAGGCAGGCTTCCGTTGTAAAGTCGTAACTAATTTATAAATAAATTAAATTATAACAATTGAAATTCTCAAATTTTAAATTCAAATTCCGGCTAAAGTCGATGAATTATCGTTATCGCCGATCGTTGGTGCCGATATGGCTCCAGTGTTGAAAATGCTGGAATGCTATGGTATTAACAGTATTTTGTATATACCATAACAATGTTTATCGACAATTCCTGGTCACACGGATTTAAAGAGCGGGCTAATCCTCCAGAGAAATTGTAGATCCCTTGGAACCGGCGCCACCATGGACTACGACCTTTTCCAGTCGGACGACGAGGAGGACATCCTCACGGCCTTCAACCAGGTCACACAGCAGCTCAAGCAGGATGCCCTCAACGCACCAATGGCTATTGACGACGGCGACGAGGAGGAGGACTTGGACGATGGCCTAGACTGGCTACCGGAATTCTGCTGCAGCGGCAGGGACACACAGAAGACGCCGCTGCCGGCCGAGGGATTCCTGCGCAGCGGCTACGCTGAAGTGAAACCGCCGCAGTGTCGCCTGGAAAACCTGTGCTTTGACTTTGCCGAGGGACAACTGACGGTGGCCGCGGTGCGAAACTACCTGCACGGCGAGGCCTGGTGAGATTACCACCAACCCAAACTTTAAGGCATTAGTTACCTTCCTCCAATTGCAGCAAGAGTGTGCAGAAGCTATTTGCCGCTGTGGCCGGCCAGCAGCAATTGGCGCCGACGCAGGCTTTGCTCTCGTCGTCAATGGGCTCTGGTGGTTCCGGCTGGTTTCGCGTCCGCCAGCAGGTTACCCACTTCTACCACCTGCTGCTCCGCCTGCGCCCGGAGGACCAGCGGCTGTTTCACGAGGACCTGCGGCTGCTGCTCAACAATCAGCTGGACACGGAGGAGGCCTGGAAGGTGCTGTACTTTGCGGAGCACAGCAAGGGCAACGAGTGCCAGGCGCCGGCCTATCATCTTTACCATGGCATTCTCGAGTGGCGCTTCCTGGATCTACTCCTGCTAGCCGCGGGAGAGGGCGAGGGCGAGGACCAAGGTAGCCTTCTGGGACAGCTGGAGCGCACGCTGGACGACCTGATTGTGTGTGCGGGGCATCATTACCGGAGCCGACATCGCCCGGAACTCATACACACCTCGCCGTTCGTGTGCCGCTGCACCAAGGAGCTGTGGCTGCTGCTGCAGCGCCTCGTCCCGCTGTGGCTGGGCGAGCGGGATCTTGATTTCTGGCTGCTGTTCCACAAGGCCATGCTCCGTCACAGGTTCAAGTATTTTCCGGGTACGATTTCTCGCGTCTTTTTGCTCCGAAAAGATTTCTTAAATCGTTTCATTTCCAGGGGAAACCAATGCCGTCTCCTTGGCCTTCCACGAGTTCTACGCCTGGCTACGACTGGGCCTGGCCCGCCTGGATGAACTGCAGCCGCAACAGGAGATTATGCTGCCCAGCAGTGGTAGCTTCCAAACGGCATCTTTGCTGAAACAATTCCTGGCCAGCCAGCCGGATGAGCAGCAGCGTCGCGTCTATTTCTCGCTACTCGCTCCCCTGCAGCTTCAGCTGGGCCAGCCGGACGTGGATGTGCTATGCCAGCTGTGGGAGTATCTGCACCGCTCCCTCAACTGCAACTTCAGTGCGGGAGGCGGCAGCGAGCAGCTGGACCAGTTGCCACTGACCTGTCACAGTGGCGCGGCCTACGTGGAGCGCTATACCAGGCTGCTGGCCAGGACGCAGCTGGAGGATCTCAATCTCAGCAGCTTCACCACCTACGCCTGGCTGCTGGGCCGGACACTGAAGCTGGGTCGGAGTAACCAGCGCCAGAAGCTGCTGGGCCGCATCTTCAGCAAGTTCAGTGCCGCCAAGCTGCTGGCGCTCAATGAGCCCGGGATCCACCATGTGATCGAGCTCTTCCTGTGCCTGCTGCTCTCGCAGGAGGACATCGCCGAGCTGGCCGTGAAGCTGCGCGAAATGCTGCTCTGTCTGGCGCTGGACAAACTGCCGCCGGTGCGTCGAGTCCTGGTGGCAAAGGGCCATATGGCGCTACTGCTCCTGCACGCCCAGCATCGCCTCGCCATGGAGGACTATGTGGGCAAGCTGCTGGGCCAGCTGGGTGCCATTCGCAACGACGTGGAGGTGGGCGCCGTCTACGCGGGCAGCCTGCAGGCCATCTTCGACCTGGCGGACGACTTCGGTCGCGGCGAGGACCTGCTGCTGGGGCCCTGGCTGACGCATTACGTGGAGAGGAGCGGTCAGGCGTCGCAGGATCGGGTGTGGCAGACCCTCCATGCGCTGATCCTGCGCCTTGGGGAGCCGCGTGCCAGTAGTAGTGGCATGGCGGAGGCCCTGCAGCAGCACATACTGCCGCTGCTGAGGACGCAGTATGTCAGCGGGCACAGTTCATGGTTGCCCAAGCTGGCCGCCAAGTTTGTGGGAATCCTGGATAAGGAGAAGGGTGACAAGCTGCTAATGGGCTTCCTCCAGGGACCAGAGCCCATAAACCTGGCCGCTTCTGCCCAGCTGATGCTCCAAGTCCTGGAGGACAACGCAGGAGGATCCCTGCGGCGGCCCTCGAACGCCACGATCCTGCAGGTGTGGGTCAAGTCCTTGGTCCTCCTCAATGCCCAGCATGAGACGGTCCTGGCCCTAATGCCGCACGTGACGCAGCTGGAGGAGTTCCGCCAGCTGGCCATTGACCCCTCGGCCCTCGAGGGCGGGCGTGAGCCACTCTGCGGCTTCTTCGGAGCCCTGGGCAGGCGGGCCCAGCAGGAGGAGACGGCGGCGCCACATGTGCGCATGCAGTTGAGCCACAAGCTCCACGCCTATGTCCACCACTTTGAGCTGTGGCTCTCTCCGGAGCGATTGCGCTCCGAGCTGGGGTCGCGCTTCTTCAGCTTCCTGGCCATCGTCATCTACAACTGCCCCAGCCTGGCGTACGTGCGCTCCAAGCCGAGCTGCTTCTTCCACCTGGCCATGGTCCGGTTCCTGCTCACCACCCAGCTGCAGGCGGGCGTGCCACCCGAGGGCCGGTTGCCGCAGATGGTGCACAAGATCTTCCCCGTGCTGCTCCAGGGGATCGGACGTCTGCCCTACCGCACCGATGCCTATGTGGGCAAGACGCTGGAGCAACTCGTCCAGCACTGGACGCCCCACTTTGGCTTCTCGCCCAACGCCAAGCTGGTGGCCCGTCCATATGCCACCCTCCTGCAGGCGGACGTGGAGGCCAGCAGCGATGGTGGTGCCTTGACGCAGTTCGTCCTGCAGCTGTTGGTCAGCCAATTTCTGGTGGTGCAGCGGCGAAAGGCGGGCCAGCAGGCGGGTCTCGTGATCGGCATTCTGCAGCAACTGATCGAGGGCATACCCGTGGAACAGGAGCAGCAGCTGATCACCGTCCTGCGCGGCGTCCATGTGCCGCTGCTGGAGCACGTGATGTTCGTGGACGAACTGGATTACAGCCGCAACCAGGTGCTGGGCCTGTACCGGGTTTTGGTTCAGCATGGCGGCTTCAAGCGGCACCCGGCTGTCCGGGACATGTGCTCCTCCCATCTGCGATCGCTGGCGGAGAAGCATCTGGCCCACTGCACCTACTTCTACTTCCAAATGCTGATTCAGTTGGCGGGTATACAGCCCGATTTGGTGGCGCCCCTCCTGCCCTTTGTGCGTGAGCAGGCCCAGCAGGTGGAGCTGAAGCGGGGCGCCGGCGAGGATGTGGGCATCCGGAAGTGCCTGCAGCGATTGCAAAGGGTGCTAATGGGATAGAACCTGGTCTTTGGTAAGCTAATAAATGCGCGAGTTTAAGAAAACCCTTCCCTGGACTTAATCCCTGGTGGCTGCTAGACAAGATCCCCCCAGGCCAAAGTGGTATAAAAATGTTATTATTTGAAAAGGGGAAGACCCCGGAGAATCCTTCCCTGGTTACAAAACGTTTAGCTTCATCACAAATACTCTCGCTCACCGCTGCTGCTCCCTCTCGTCCGCGGTCAGAGCTTACGGATTTACTTCAAGGCTTGGCAATAATAAATACACTAGGATTGCTTCTCATGATGGCAGGAGGAGGAGGAGGGCTGCTGCCCGCCTCAGACCACGTTCTTGGCGTCGCGCGGTATGCGATTGGTGAGCAGGCTGGCGGGCATGAAGCCAGAGTCGCCCAGGTACTTGATGGACACATTGCCGGAGGCACCGATCGTTAGCCAGGTGATGGACGCGTGATTGATGTTGATCCGGAGCCATCCCTCCGCCGGAAACTGCAGGGCGCGGCAGACAAAGTACCGAATCACATTGCCATGGCCCACGATTAGGGTGTAGGTCTCCTTGTCCTGGTCGGGATAGGCGCGATGGAAGTACCGCCGGAAGGCTGCCTCGATGCGGGTGCCGTCGCGCAGAAACTGCTGCAGGGAAACCAAAGGATCAGGATCAAATAGAAGAGAGACTATAGCCTCTGCTTACCGACGCCTCCGGCTTCCAGTGGCCCACCGGCGGCTGCGGTGGTATCGGCGCCCCCTCGCGCAGAAAGGCACAGTTCACCACCTTCTCCTTGTCGAACTGTATCTCCTTGAGTATTATATCGGACGTCTCCTGGGCCCGCACCATGGTCGAGGCGATCACCTTGTCCCACTTAATGCCCAGCTCGGACAGGCGCCGCCCGGTGAACTCTGCCTGCTGGCGACCGCGCTCGGTCAGATGATGCGTGGCATCCGAGTCGCCAACGTCCAGGTACTCGCCGTGCCGCACTAGGATAATGTGGCGCGCCTTCTTGGCCTTGGCCTTCTCCAGCTCCGTGTTGTAGCGATTCTCCTCCTCCGGCAGGCTGTTGCGCACCGGACGCACCAGGGAGCGCGGCTCGCGGCAGTCCCAGTTGCTGTCCCACAGAGCACAGGAGTCCACCGGCTTCTCGCTGGACGTCCAGGAGGTGTGCGCCGCGGTGTGGGGATCGCGCAGCCGCTGCAGGTAGAAAGCCGCCAGGCCGGCGCCGGTGCCGCACAGGAAGCTGGTCAACTTTCGCATCTTTCCAGGCTAGTAAAATTGTAATCTCCGGCAGCTTCTTACTCTTCCTTAATCTCCTTTGATCTCCTTTATCTTGATTTATCTTTCGCTTTTTTTCTTTTTGTTTTCTTTTGGCCAATTCGCCGCTAATCAGTGTAACCAGAGCTGTGGCGAAAATGCCCAACACTGCGTTTTGGGCATCAGTGATGCACATGAGCATCACTGCCATTATTTATTCCTGTGTTTATTTACCCATTTTTTTTGTTATTTATTTATTTATTTATTTACTTTCTTAATTAATGTATTTATTTTATTATTTTCCCTAATTAATTAGGGATCCTCGCCAGCCTCCGGCTCCAGCCTGCTGCGGCGGAGCAGGAATTTCGGCGGCGGATCAGGGCGGCTGCAGCAGAGCAGGGATGCGGCAGAGTAGGGATTTCGGCGGCGGAGCAGGGCTGCTGCAGGAGCAAGAGCAGGAGCAGGGCTGCTGCAGGAGCAGGGCAGCTGCAGAAGCAGGAGCAGGGCTGCCGGCGTCTGCTGCGGCGGAACAGGGCTCCAGGAGCAAGCTGCCAGCAGTGGCTCCTCCGAGGGATCCTTGCCAGCCTTACTGTACATTATTACAATTTTTAACGATTTTTGTACAATTTTATTTATGAAAATTGAATAAATATGGTGGAAAGTATTCCCATTATACTGTATTTATTTATATATTTATTGTATAGCTGGGTGGGCATCACGGATGGAAAGTAAGATGACGTTTTCTCCCGATATTGCAATATACCTAACTGGGCTTCACTGGCAGGTAGTGAGATGCCATTTTGTCCCAATGGAGCATCCTAGCTAAATGAGCATCACTGGCAGTTAGTGCGATGCCATTTTCTATCAATAATGCAAAAAATAGCTAGATGAGCATCACTGACATAAAGCCCGATTTTATTGCCCCCAATCTTGCAATATATAGCCAGATGCACTGATGCACATGAGCATCACTGACATAAAGCCCGACATTTCGTCCCCCCAATATTGAAATATAGCCAGATGAGCATCACTGATGCAGATGAGCATCACTGATGCAATTCTTAAGCCTAGTACTCTGACGAGAAAAATGTCCTTTGTGGGTTAAATTCCATATTATGGGCTTCCCCTTGACAGCCCCTATCAATGTCACCTTTTTCCTTCAACTTTCCCTCTATTAGGGGTGTCTAAATAAATCAAATGTGACTAGCGCTCTAATTTATAAGTTTTACACTTGTAGCGTTAGGAAGGCAAATAAAATCAAATCAAATCAAATGAATTATTTAGACAGCCCGATATCAGCTGTTTACTATCTTGATCTGGCAACGCCATTCAATTTTCGCAGGCTTCATTTTCGTCGTCAGAGTACCGAAAAAAACGACGTGTCTAAAAGTTCTTCTTCTTTTTTTTCGACACCGTTTTTTTCATATGGAGTTTGGCCGCTGTCTAAATTTATACAGCGGTTTTTTCTCGTCAGAGTACTAGGCTTTAAAATTTGACCACTTTCCAAACTGGGGTACCAGGCGAACAGAAACCAGCAGCAAGCAACTGAAAACTGGTATAAACTGTTATAAAAAGTCCAAGTTTCAAACCATTTAGGAGCCGGCACAAGTTAGCGGGGACTCAAACCTTTTGACTCCAAATTTAGGTGCTATTTTACAACTGCACCTGGGCACACTGAAACTGATCGTCGTTAAATTCAAATTCAAATTTGGCAGTTAAAAAAATAATTCAAAATATTTTAAAAAATGTAAAAAATTCAGAAAAAATGTAAGAAATTCAGAAAAAATTTAAAAACTCAGAAAAAATTTTAAAAATCTGAAAAAAATGTTCAAAATTTAGAAAAAAAATTAATTTAATTTTAAAGTTGGTTTTATCGTTATTTTTTGTTGATTTGAAAATATAATATAATTTAAGAATTATATTTGTATTGCTTAATTTGTCACATCCACCCATTCGCCTTTTTATTGGGTATCAAATTGAATATATTTATTTTTCTCTTCGAACAAATAATATTAAAATTAAGTTTAATACGTTTTTATCTATATTTTTGTTGATTTTATAAAATAAAATATTTTTAAAATTAAATTTGTATTGCTTAATTTGTCACACCCACCCATTTGCCTTTTTATAGGGTCTCAAAGTGAAGAATATTTAAAAAAAAATGTTTAATTTGTTTTTAGCTTTATTTTGATTGATTTGATAAAATAAAATATTTTTATAAAATAAAATAAATTATTATTTTTTTTTTTTTTTTTTTTTTTATAAGTTCAAATTTAATTATACGTTAATCAACCAAATCAATGATTATAAAACGTAGGGACTAACACTAACAACAAACATAACATGGAAACATAACAGTAAACGGTAAACAATTTATAATTTACAAAGGCATTTCAATTATTGGTGTAGGACTCGGGTTCTTTGCCTCCCTCTTAACCAAAGGTCACCTGGATGTCGTCTCTTCAGTCTTCGTCTGGACATGGGGATGGCCAATGATGCCGCTAGGTGGTTGGTGTGGGCCAGAAGCCGTTCATTGTACCGACTTGAGTGCCTGTTGATCTGCTCCCTCACTGGTAGCATTTTGAGGTCGTTAGCGATGTCTGCATTCCTAGCAAACCAGGGTGCATTTGTGATTGTGCGCAGCGCCCGGTTTTGGACCCTTTGCACTTTCATAACGTTAGAGTCGGACGCAGTACCCCATATCTGGATGCAATAGGTCATAGCAGGAACAACTATTGCTTTGTATAGCAGCACTTTGTTACTGAGGCTCAGCTTGCTGGTGGACTTTAGCATCCAGTTTAGCTTTCTGAGTTTTCCACGGCATGCTGCTGCTATTTTGGTGGTGTGTTGCCTCCACGTGAGCCGCTTATCCAAGATCAATCCCAGGTATTGGGCCTGAGGAGATTGAGGAATTAGCGTGTCCTGAAATATGACCCTAGGGAGGATTTTGTGTCTAAGGGAAAAATTGCAGTGTTGTGATTTATTTCCATTTATGGATATGTTCCACCTCTTCGTCCACTCGCTATATGTATCCAAAAAGCTTTGCGTTTTTCTAGAAGCCTCGATTCGACACGCTGAGTTTGCGATAAAGGCTGTGTCATCAGCATACGTTGCAAGAAGTGTCCCCGGTTCTCTGGGATTGGGCAAGTCAGAGGTGTAAAGGGTGTATAACACAGGACCCAAAACACTCCCTTGCGGTACTCCAGCTCGACTGCTTCTAATGGATGATCTTTCACCTCTCACATCAACCATGAATTTTCGCTCCAGCAGGTACGATTTCAGAAGGAGATATTGAGCAGTTGGTAGGAGTGTTTTTAGCTTAAAAAGCAATCCATTGTGCCACACTCTATCGAAGGCTTCCTTTACGTCAAGGAAGATAGCAGAGCTGTACTGACCGTTTTCAAAAGCATCTAAGATATGCTGCGTTACTCTATGAGCCTGTTCTGGCGTTCCATGGTGATTCCGGAAGCCAAACTGGTGATCTGGAATGGCATCCTGAACACTTCTTACTGCCATCATTCTGCTAAGAAATATTCTCTCGAATATTTTAGAGAATGTTGGCAGCAAGCTTATTGGCCGGTAAGACGCAACAAGGTTCTCCGGTTTGCCTGGCTTAGGTATCATCGATATCACTGCGCACTTCCATTGTGTGGGGAAGTGGTAAATACGTAACATGGAGTTGAACAGGAGCACAAGGAATAATATGCCCTTTTTGGGCAGAGCTTTGGCAACTCTATTATCGACTCCGTCAAATCCTGGTGCTTTACTAACGTGCAATTTTTTAATTTGGAGACAAACTTCTTCCGGACTTACATGACGAATAGGCTCTACATCTGGGCAGGAAGTATTAAGAAATGCCAGTGTTGCTTCCACGTCCTCACTCCTAGCAAGATCAAACGGCTGAAATCGACCTTCTAGTTCGTCAGCAAAAGCCAGAGAAATATCTGCATCCGATCTGCACCAAGTGTTGTCAGCACGCTTTATAGGGATTCTGCGTGGGGGCTGCCGTTTAACTGACTTTGCTGCTTTCCAGAGGTTAAATCCATACGGTTTTGTGGGGTCTGCATTGCGTAGTAGATCTGAGAAATAATCATTTTTCGTCTTATGCAGCAACTTCTTTAGATCGTTCTCAGCGCGACGATATGCTCTTTTGTCGGCCGGATTTTGCGACCGCATGAATCTGCGACGCAAGGCTCTTTTCGACCTCACCAAATCCAGGACCTCAGGTTTTAAAAGAGCATGAGGTGGATCTGATGGGTTTATTGAGCCTTGTCCACTGGTTGAAGATTCGGCAGCAATGTGAATGTTTCGCACAAAGACCTCAGTGGCATCATCAATGTCTTCAGGGGATCTCAGGACCATGTTGAGGTTTACTAGCTGGTTAATTGCTGCCTGAAACCGTGGAATATTTGCGTTTTTTGGGAGACCTTGAAAGCAGCACTTCTTAGCTCAATTAACAAGGGGATGTGATCAGAACAAAGTTCCAAGCTCCCTGAGATGGATAGGAGCTCAGAGCGAATCCCCCCATATATGGCAAAATCAATTGCAGTTGGCGTACGCTGGCTGTACGGGTAGTGGGTAGGACCTCCGGTTGCAAGGACTTGAATGTGAGAGCTGAGGATATAGTTTGCCAATACTCTTCCACTGACAGAGGAATTTCGACAACCCCAAAGTCGATGGTGTGCATTCCAATCACCGGCAATTAGAAATTTGGGTCCTAGTTCCTCAAACAGTGTTCTAATGTCATCATAGGAGCGCTGGAAGTTTGGAGGACAATAAATAGAGGCTATAGCAATTTCACCTTGATCCGTATTGACTTTGACTGCGACACATTGAGCACTTTGATGTTCCATTGTTAAAAATTGGTAGTGTTTGAGACAGGACTTTATGATGACTGCAGAGCCCCCACGGTGGCGATCGGCGGGATGGTTAGATAGGTGAACGTCATATCCGTGTAGTTTGTAGTATGAACGAGAGCAGAAGTGTGTTTCGCTGACCAACATAATATCTATGTGATGTTTATGAACAAAAAGCTCTAGCTCCAGTGCTTTGTTGTCCAGCCCGTCGGCGTTCCACACACCAATTTTGAGTCCAATTTGACTCATGGTTGGATTGGATAAACTGGGAGACGTCCAGAACTTGGTTGAGTAGATCCTGGCGCGTTTTGTGATAAAAGGCTAGTGACGAGAGTCATCATTGACATCATCATCTGGAACATCTTTTCTAGTTGTGTTACGAGAACTGACATTTTTTCATCAGATCGCATGAACATTTCTTCTTGCCGCTGCCATTGCTGATTATTCTGGATATTACGCAGTTGCTGGGATAGATTTTGCTGTTGCGGTTGTTGCTGTTGCTGGGTTCCTGGATGTTGCTCTGGCCTTGGGATTGTGTCCAACATTGGTTGTTGGGGTTGACGGTTGTTTTCCCTACGTTGACTTTGTTGGTTCTGCTTCCGGTACCTACTTCCTAGTGGTGGGAATTGTTGCAGCTGCTGTTGGCTTGTAAATTGCTGAGGGCTAGCCTGTTGTGTTTGGCGAGATCCCCCGGCGACGTACCCGTAAGATAGCGAGGGCTCAATGCCTCTTCGTGCAGTTGGAGCCGTAACTTGTTGTTGTTGATGGGGGCTACGATGGGATGTAGCAGTTTTGCGTCGACTTACTGTCTGCTGGTATACGATACAGCCCTTATAGCTTGCAGTATGATTACCGCCGCAGTTGTAGCATTTAACTGGATGTACATCTCGTTGGCAGTCTTCAATGGAGTGTTGCTGACCACATCTTACACAGTTAACTTCCTTATGACAGTTATTTTTTGTGTGATTGTAAGATTGGCACCGATAGCATTGCACGACAACGTCCTTTTTGAAAGGAAGCTCAACTTGTATCCGTTGACGACAAAGCGTTTTAAGCTCATGTATTTCTTTGTTGTTGGCGGCTGGTTCTAATTCAACAAAGACAAGGTTGACGAGCTTTGTTTTATCGAACCGGCTTCTGGGTCTATTGATGAAGCGGATAGTATGGCCAAGTGAAGTAAGGCTTTCCTTAATATCTTCATCCGGAATGGAGTGATGCACACCTCGGATGACAATGCGGTAAGACCTTTCCTCTTTAAGTTGCCAGGTATGAAATGGCACCTTTTTTGAGGTAAGCGATTTAGTAATGGCTCTGTACGCATCTGAATCTGAAGCCAAGATCGAAACGGAATTATCTGGGTGGCATTTAATGGAATATTTGGTTGGGTGAACGACCTTATCTGTGGATCTGATAAGTCCGTTTAAGTTTTCACAATTTTTGACCACAATTGGTGGTGGTTTGTGAGACGGTGGGGTTTCGTTGTTGTCTGAGGGCTGGTTTGGACTACCATTGCAGCTAGTCGTATTGCTATTATTGCTGTTACAGGTGTTGCCGCTGTTGCTTAAATAGTTGGTTAGAGTGTTGCTGACTTGGTTGCTGGCGTTGGTGGTGTTGCTGGTGTTGGTGGTGTTGCTGGTGTTGCTGGTGTTGCTGGTGCTGATACTGGCTTGGTTGGATCTATTTTGACCGACTGTTTGTGGTGATTTCATAATTTCATCGTCCGTGTCCATATCTGACAGATCCGAGAACCGATTGTCAGATGCTGCTGGTTTTGGGCTATTTGAATTCCTAATAATTTTCGAGCTTGAGTTGTAAGGGCTTGATCTTAAACGGCGTTTATTATTGGGACGTGGGGTCCACCAATCGTCGTCATCAGCCATAGCATCTTGCTCAGAGTCTTGAGTTGCTACTGGCCGAGCATTATTAGAGGTCGAGGCATAAATGGCGTTAAATTGGTTTATCGAGGAATTTAACGCCTCTCTCATTTTTTTTCTGGGCCTCAGCCGCAATCTTTTCGATGTCAAGATCCGATTCAGCAGACATAGGGAACTTGCTTTACCGACTACGGGACCTTTTGGGAAGGCTTCACAAAGGAGATTGAGACCGAGTGGCGAATACGCGCGACCCGCAACCGGGCGGCACCCGGAACTATTACAGCTATTAGGCTTGTCTTTCGTTTCACTTTGTTTTCGCAATTGACAGAAATAGCGGAACGTGGGGGCACTGACACCACGTCCTTAGAAGTCGGATTTAGAAAAAACACAGTCGCTTTTGCCACAAAGGTGGACTTGTCCATAGACTCTTTACAATGCAAAAACGCGTCTGCACTCCACGAAAGCATAAGAAAAATTTGTATTTTCCCCTTTTTTCTTTTTAATAGCCGAAAACACGTCCGAAGCCTTTGACAGCTAACGCAAAGCCTGAAAAAAAAAAAAAATAAATTATTAAAAATCTTTTTTAATTTTTTTTATTACTCTACTTATTTCTAAAAATAAACCTTTAGCAATTTTATATAAATAAAAATATATTACCTATACCACCTATAGCAAACTGAGCAGGACGGAGGACCGATGACGCGATAACGAGAGAGATAGAGATATAGATAAAACATTTTATTATTACAAACTTGAAGAAAAATTGAAAATGCAGAGAAAGAGTATAATTTTTGTAATGTTTCACATTTATTTTGAATTAATGCTTAATTATACATTTGATATACACGAAAATATTCCAACCAACTGCCAGTTCAGCAATCAATATAAACCAAGTAATTACTATTATTGTAATCCATTCTTGGTTATCTTTTATATTTCTGGTACAGACATGTGCAGTTTGTGTTGCCGGAAACCCGGTGGCTCAGAGAGATATAGATGGATCCAGCCTTTTTCCACTATACCCCCTGATCTAAATCTCCAAGCTCTTGTGGGGTTTTCTGCAACACTTTATAGTTTTTTCTTTGCTTATTTCAGTTAAATGGGAATTGTATAGTGAACTTATAGGGGGATTCCAGACCGAAATGAAGTGGAAATCGAAGAACTTACAATACTGTAAGGAGTATTTAATACCCTCGCTCAGAGAGTGTCATTACCGGCTTCTTCACTTATCGATTATGCGATTAAATAACTCTTGTAACTGTGGTAACTAGGGAATATACATATTTTACGATAACATTGGCTAAGCACCTTAATCTGGCGATCTTTAATTTGGAATCAGCTTCACTTACGACTACTATATCCTTCGGTGTGCACATTTACACACAGAAATAAATATTTATATAGAAATATACATGCATTCATTGACGATATATGCGATACATATGTGTTGAGTACGAGGTTAAATACCGGGATCGAAAAATATATATATTATATACTATATATGCCTGTCTTTAGTATGATGCAGAGCCACAAACCTACGAGCCTATCCTAGGTCATGCATGCTCGGTCATGCATGGCTGATCCATCACTATCCTGACCGCCGTATTGCGTCGCTTGCCCCTCCTCTTTGGTCTCGGCTTCAGCGGTCCCGACGCGTTTCATCCACGCACTAGGCCGTGGTCACTGGACAAGCGATGAGCCTCCAAGCGGCTCAGACGCCGGCCTCACGATCCCATCAGGCTGTCCAGAAACGAATGCTTGTTAATAATCTTCGTGGTGGCAATCAGGAACTCTACGTTGTTGTCCTCCTGGGCGGCCAGGAATCGCAGCGCTGCAACCTCGGCAAAGGTGCAGCCGCCCACGAAGCACACCAAAACCACTCGCGGCACATGCAGCAGCGATTTCTCGGCCACTGTTGCGCCCGTATGCCGTCCACCGATCCCCACCAGCTGCGCCTGGAAATCCTCAAACGTCGGACCGGGCAGGTTGTTGATCTGGCTCTTGAGCGACTGCCAGCCCAGCGGCTTCAGCGAGTGCTCCACCAGGCGAGCGGTCAGCGGGGCATAGAAGCTGTGCACGTAGCTAATGTCCTTCGGTTCCACCTCGACATTGTCGTCCACGGTGAGGTGCAGGGTCTGAAAAGGAGGAGAAAAGAACCAGTTAACCCGGTATTCTTGCTCATCTCTGGAATGGCAGCTCACCTTCCGCAGCACGGCGTAGGCCCGCGACTCCGTTTGCTGGTGCAGGAGGCCGGCCTTCTCCAGATTGCTGATGGTGAGCAGCACCTCGAGACCGTAGACCTGGACGAGCTCGCGCTTGTAGTGATTCAGCAGTTTCTCCTTGAGACCGGAGGCGGCGGCGCACTGCAGGCAGATGAGTCGCAGGACGCCGCGCAGCTCCGCCTTGCTGGCGATCTGGTCCTCGATGTAGGCGCTCGGCTTATCGATGTCCGCACAGACCATGAACTCCTGCTCGGCGGCCAGATCATCGGCAAAAGCCACTGCGTTTACCTGCTCGTGCAGCAGGCCAGCAATGGCCGTGTGCTCCGACGTGGCCTTCTTCTGGGCCATCAACTGCGGCAGCAGGTTCTCCACAAAGCTCTTGATCTCCTTCACGCTCTTGTCCTGCGAGGTGGCGTGCATCTGGGCGTGGATCTCACGCGCCTTCCGTGCCAGCAGCTTGGTCACCTCGTTGAAGTGCTTGTTTCGCAGCTCCGCGTACAGCGTCTCCCCGGAATGGAGCATGATCGTCTTCATCTCGCCGTCGCCCAGCAGCGACTGTGACTCGTCGGCCCGCGACCCATTGCCGATGTTGCCACCTGCCCCGCCACCGAGTCCGCCGTCGGAGGGAAAGTGCTCCGAGGGCAGCATCAGCTTGTTCTGCCGGATGCCGTAGAACTCGTCGATGAGCCCCTCGTAGGTGAGCTGAGTGGCCAGCGGGCTGAGCAAATCGATGCTTCGGTCCAGCAGGATCAGCTGGTCGACAATGCCCTTGTCGCCGTTGTACAGCGACCGCTCGTCGCGTCCCAGTTGCTTGGCGTGCTCCCACACACGATGCGCCTGCTCGCCCTTGCCGTAGATCTTGGGAATGCGTCCGTAGAGCCGCTGCAGCTGCACCAGGCCCACGGCTGCCTGGTACAGCGAACTGGTGTCGCCGTCAACGCTAACGTCGCGGAATGCATTGGGCAGCTCCATGGTGACAACGTCCGCATCCAGCGGCAGGTAGTTCCAGGCCAGCTCTGCGATGCGTCCGAAGCTGCCGAGAACGCCGCTGTTCTCCAGCTGGCTGATGCACAGACAGGAGCGACGGGGTGCGAACAAGATGTGATACTGCCGTCCGGCCTGCCCGCCGCCGGCCTTTACATGTCCCGCCAGCTGGTCCATTAGAGCCACTCGCGGACGCACCACATACACCACGTTGGTCACCTCGCGCGGCAGATGCAACTCGGGCTTGAGGGCCAACAGCCGGATGCCGCGGTCGGCGAACAGCTTCGGCCTGGTCACCAAATTCAATGGCCCGATCATGGCCTCGTCCAGGACGATCACCTTGGATCCCTCGATGCGCTCCAGCTGCTGCACCAGCTCGCGGCAGTTGGCCTCCTGCAGTAGCTGCAGGTTGACCCGCTGCCCGTGGCCCTTCAGGTGCGGAAACATGCTCCTCCGATCGCAGGCCTCTCTAGGCACGGCTGTGCATGTAGTTGTGGGGGCGGTGTTTATGTGTGTATTCTTGGTTTTGTGGCGTTGACGGCTTCGGTTCGGGGTTTTTTGACTGCACAACGTCTTCGGCACACAAGTTTAGTCCTTGTCCCGGACTACATGAACTACATACACCGCAAATATTAATTTTCCGTTTAGTGAGAAGAAAAAACCTCAAGAAAAACAACAACAAATCAGTGGGATATCGGGCCAGTGTGACCAAACACGTTCGAAGCCATAAGAATTGAAAGGAAAGCTGTTTGTGTATAGGCGATGCCGGACTGCGCAAGAAAAGTTGGCACTTGTTCCCCATTTGCGGCTTCTTTGTTATGTTCGGCAGGTGCAAAATCCATTAGGGCAGGTGGGAAAAAATATCTTTACGCGAGATGAAAACCTCTCTTGAATTCCTTTTGAAAGAAGCAAAAAAGTAGAGGTGGAGAAACATCGATGCGAACATCGATGACATCGATGTTTTCGAAACATCGGAAACATCGATGCTTAGCGGGGCAACATCGATGTTTTTTCATTTATTTATTGTATTAATTATATTTTAGATTACTACAGATGGCGACTCCTTTAAAACGTTTGCTAAAAAATACTTCTGCGTTCTCGCATCTTCGCACGAATCTGAAAGAGTTTTCAGTAAAGCTTCACAACTTATAAGTGAGCTTCGCACGCGGCTCCTCTTCCTTAAACAAAAACAAACATGGAAAAATATGTAAATATATATACTAGAGTTCGGGATAGCAATATCCTAAAAAACTATTATTTTCTTTGGACCATGTATATATTGAAACATTGATATTAAATTTGTTTTTGTTTTTAGTTTTTATTTACAAACTAAGAAAAAGAAACTATATACCAAAGAAGTGGAACATGAATATCATGAAGTTTTATTTTAATTAGTTTTTTGTTTTTTTTTTATTTAACAAGTGATTAAAAAAATTGAATTTTTGTTGAAAATTTGACTTTTATTTTTTTAATATTACAAATTAAAATAAAGTTCATATACACTAATATAACTGCTAATTTTTTTTATTTAAAACATTGATGTTTCTGGCGTTGCCAGACACATCCAATCCAATTAGCATTGTCGATAACGATAAGAAATACTAAACACAATTCAAGAAATACCAAATAAATACCAAATTATTTAAAAAGATTATTTTCCGTTTATTTAAATGTGAATAAAGTTTATATGCGGATCGATAACCGAGACAGAGTAGAACAATTGCGCCCTGCGCTCAATGTGGATTTGTCGCGGTCAACTCGCTTGTACATACATATGTATGTATGTGTGTACATGGACGTAACGCCATTTTCCTTGGCCGAAAGACGCCATTTTGTTGGATTTCCGGTTCCCATGAAGAAGACACGTAACGCCATTTTCTTTGACCCAACGACGCCATTTGGTTGGATTTCCGGTTCCCATGAAGCACGCTCAAAGAAATCTGCTCGCAATGTTATAATATAATATTTAATGAAACATTTACTATAAATATTTTTATTAGAAATTTTAATAAATAACTCTTGTTTTCTGTGTCTTCAGGGGTATGTGTTTTATTTATTTTATCTGAATAATCCTGTTGAAAGGGAATAGCAATACACAGATAGCCGCTGACGTTAACGTCTGCACAACTGCATCCACGTCACTGGACACGACTTTTAAAGATCCACGTTGGCCAGTGCCGTAGAATGCTGCTTGCGCCGCCGACCTTGTGGTGGCATGAAGACCTTGGCCATATTGGTACGGTAATCACCATTGCACTTAATCCAGAAACTCCAACCTCACTGTAATAGCTAACGAATGCACATGACAGATGAGGAGCGAGTTCCAGTTTAGTTGCAACAATTGTGGACCGCCGATCCGTGTTGTTTCTCTTTGGGTGTCCGGCATGGGTCGTTCGCTGCCCAGTAACAGGCTGTCTCTGGGGTGCCAAATATTCTCATGTCATCCACTATTTGACACTTCAGGAACTGCCTGTCACGGGACGCCATTGACCCGGGAATCACTAGTCACGTACCCACTGAAGATCGTAAAATGACCTGAAAATATATGAGGTATAAATGAGGAATAAATAAGGAATATATGAGGAATAAATGGGGAATATATGAGGAATAAATGGAATATATGTATATGCACAAGTCTTATGCTGAGTCTGAGGAAATTCGAACAGAATCCAATCCAGCTAATCCTTCTCTGGCAGAATTTTTTGCACTTCTCCTTGTCCGTTTTTAGGTCTCATCTAGTTTTTCGGGAAACCTCAAATGTTCTCTCCATTTGAAATATAATTGCAAACCCTAAGCTACCTTGCCCATTTTTACTGCGCTTAGTAAGAGCACACATCTAGCTCAATATTGAGAATGTTCAGGCGTTGTTTTCCGGGCAGGTGTAAAATTGTGCCAATTTTAATTTTCATGGGTTTTTATCGATGCCACGAGGATGATGATGTTGATAAGGCCTTCTCGGGGGCCAGGGCCCAGACACACCCACAAAAGCCAATTTGCCGGGGCCCGTGTAGGGGGTAGGGTGGGGTAGTGGGCCAAAGTGGGAGTTCGGAGCTGGGTGGTGGGCAGTACGGAGTCCGCAATCGAGTGCCTGCATATACATATGTGCTGCAAATATTGGAGTATATAAATAAATATGCCTGGTCTGTGTGCTGGCCATTAGCCGGCATCGACATCGACATCGACATGGACATGGACATCGCATCTCCCCCGCAACCACTCCGCTGCTCCTCTTCGGTTTGCTCCTCTCTGCTCTCCGCATGCAATTGGCAATTTAAGCTCGCATGAATTATCGACAATCAATTATGGTTTTTGGCCATGTCGCTCGCCGGACTCCATTCTCGTTGCCCGGAACTGAGTATGAAGCAAGAGTGAGCGTGTGTGTGTGTGTGTGGCGCTTGTATATGTTAATTAATCAAAAGCCCATCTATCTATCGATTCGGCATTTACAGACATATGCAAATTAAAAGCATACAAGCAGCTCATTAATGTGCACAGAAAGGCAGCAGCAACCAGAGACAACAACAACAGCAGCATCCTCATCCTCACCATCATCATCATCATCATTATCGTCTTCATCATTGTCATTTCTGGCGAAGGAATATCGCTTTAAAAGCTGAGATTCGATTTCAATTGCGTTTTCACCATTATTCCAGCATGGGTTTTCCCATTCATTGCCATTTTCGCCACGCAGATCGCATTATGGGGTGTGTTTTTTTTTCGTTTTTAATTTAAATCGTTTGAATTTGCAGTTTCATCGCCACGAAACTATTTCTATCGCATTTTGTGGGGCGTTATAATTCAAATTGGGCCTTGCTCCGAGCCCCAGGCAGACGTCACAAAAGAGCTGCGAGGAAATTATGTAACCGCGTTAACGGATTTCGAAACAATAGGACTTGGCATAGATCAAGCCACAGCCGGAATACATTTTGGGGTATATTTACAGGATTTGTATATTGGAATATAATTAGTTATTCATTTCTTGGGTTAGTTTAAATATGCTTACATATTTTTTTGGATTATATATTTAATTATTAAACTGAATTATTAAAATAATCATAATAAGAAAAGGAAATTTAGGCAATTATTAATTTATTGCCTACCTAAGGGACCCCAAGACCCTAGTGATATGATCTTTTTATGCCTTTACAGGGTATGTCCAGGGTATTATAATTTCAAATAGAAGCTTACAAAGCAGTGAAAAAGTCATTTCCGATCCCATAAATCATATATATTCTTGATCAGCATTAACAGGCGCTTCTTTCTAACCATCTTGGAAAGAAATAAAATTTTTTTCAAATTTTTTGATTTTTTCAAAATTTGATAAGGGGTTACATCATTAAAATTCTCAAAAATGGCCATAAATTTAAATTTCTTAAAATTTGAAATTTAGTATGCCGATTTGTTAACCGAGAAACAATTAGCATAGAAAAGCTTTCCGAACTAAAATTGATGCATTTTTGGCTGAGTTTTGATTCGAAACAAACTGCAAGGGTATCACATTATTTCGGCTTTCCGAATTTAGTTTCCTTTCTTGTTTATACTTGTTTTAGGTTGAAAGAAATTTTAAAAAGTTTTAAATTATTTAACATTGAAATTAAAATTAAATAAAATGTGGGATACAAACTTACAACATGACCCTTTCTGAAACATTATAAGAAAAGTAAATTTATTAAAAATGTCAACTATTATTCACATCAGATCTCAGCTGTAACTTGGTCCTAGACACGGACTCGACCACGTGAATATCTCACCAGATATCAAAGGCGTCAAAGGTGCGATATTCTCGTAATCCAGACCGTGCCATGGAGGTTTGCATCTAGAGCCTCGACTCCCAGAGGAGCTGAGTAGATGGGTAGCTGTTTAGCTGGTTACCTGGATAGCCGTTGCTGGAGTAGGTGCAATGCTCCGCCATCAATGAGAACTAATCCAATGCAATCAAGTGCCGTCATTGGAGATGCTCTCACCAATGGCGAGGCAATGCCTCGCTGCAATCTCCAAGTGCCAAACGCCAATCACATTCGTATCAAGTTCAAATCACATACTAAATATGGCCAGTGTTCAGGAGTCCGAATCGTATGGGTTTCTGGCCGAGATTGGCTTGCTCCTTGCTCCATTTTTGGTTGTTTACGGTAGCTAACTGCCGAAAATTTCTGATGTCTCGTACTGTATTTCAAATATAACCATACATTACGAAACTCGGAAACTTTCTGCGGCTATACCAGGGGTAAGCACACGAATCCTCTGCCGATCTCCGCCAGAAATTATTGAGCAGGAAGGAGCAGGCTTGAATATATTCAATTAGAAGGCCATACAGGACACTCGGCCATTGATTATACTTATACCCTTACCCTCATCCGGGTCTGCCACGTGTCCCCAGGACAACAAACGTCCCACTTAGGAGATGACACGCCCCGTGACGCCTTGCCAAACGCCTGCCAGGTAGCCTTTAAATGAACAATGAAAATAGGTAATTTGAAATCTGGGTGGCATGGAGAGGCAGAGAAAGGGTGAAGCAGGAGTCCTGTGACCCGGAAGAGCATCTTGGAGTTCAAGTGTCGTGCGAAATGGCTGCTGATTCTGGCATATTGACTTCTGAAATGATAATGTCAAGAGTTCTGGGAGAATAATCAAACTATCTTGAAGTTAAAATTTTTTTTAAATATATATTCTATTGCTTAAACAACATTTTTTTGAAAAGTGGCCGGTTTTGCACCGAA